AGTAATAGAGGAGGAAGAGAAAATCCTGTCTCTTAAACAAAGGCAGAAAAAAAGAAAACAATCAAAAGAAATTGATACCCCAAAGGGAAAGTTTTATGGCAAAGTGGATGAGACTGAAAGTGAAGAGAGAATTTCTAAGGAAATAGAAAGTCTGTTAAAAGAAGTAGGACAAGAAAGTTTGTCTGAAGAGGAGGAGGAAGAAGAGGAGGAAGAGGAAGAAGAAGATATAGAAGAGGAAGAGGTGGAGGAAGAGGAGGAGGAAGAGGAGGAGGAAGAGGAGGAGGAAGAGGAGGAGGGGGAAGAAGAGGATAAGAAGAGGAAGGACAAGGAAAGGAAGAGGAAGGAGAAGGAAAAGAAGAAAAGGAAAGTGGAAGAGGAGGAGGGTTTTGAGGAAGAGAGAGAAAGCATGAGTGAGGAAGAGTTGGAAAGTCTGAGAGAGACAGAAGAGAGAAGCTCAATAGAATCGAGCAAAGAAAAAGACATTTTAAAAAGGGCAAAACTATTTAAGTTACAAGAAGAAAGAGGAAAGGACCTACAAAGAAAGGAAGTGGTCCCTTCTATTGAAGAAAGATTCCTTGGGGTCAAAAGCAAGGATATAAAATGGGGAGTTCTAAAAAGCTTTTCCAGACAAGTGATCTCAGTACCTAGGGATATGGGATGGATGCCACAAATGCCACTGCCTGCCAAACAAATATCCTTGGAAGGAAAAACTACAGCACTCCAGGCATGGAGGACATTCTTACAGATAAAGTTAAAGGATAAAGAAAGAGAACTGTTGGAGAAATATAAACCCATGCCTCTACATGTTTTGGATACAAGTTTAGTGTCCCAAGATCAGGACGTAGAGACATCATTTGTGTCTGACACATTTAGGAAAACCATGGAGGCTCACAAATTCCTACATAGACTCCCAGATGCCAGGTATAAGTGGCTTTTGCAGCATCATCCAGCTCTGAAAGAACGAAGGAGAGTACAACGACCCCTTCCCCAGATCCTTGCTGACAAACAACATCCAGAGGTAGAGGTAAGCCTCTCAGATGTAGAGTGGATCCGCCAGGTCCTAGAAGAGATGGAAGCCGGAGAACAGCTTTCCAGAGATAGCTTTCACAGACTGTGTCAACTCCTCAAAGACCTGACCTCAGAGGGAAACTTAGAGTGGCTACGTCCGGCCATGCTTGAAGCCATTGTGCACCATCACATGCAGGCTCTGGAATCCCAAAGCACAAGGGCCTCAAAGACCAGTGGGGAGTCCATGGGTCTGAAACACCTGAAAGTGATTCCTCCTATAAAAGGAAAGGAAAAGGAAAGTTGGCTAAAACCTTTGATTGTTCCTACACCAAAGTCCTCATTACCTTCCAAGAGGATTATAGACCCAAATGCTACAAATTGGCATCTTTTAGGCGAGCCTTTCAGGAGTACACAGATACAGCAGTTATCCAATGCCCTCAGAGAAATGCAGACACATTTTTATCCTGTCACAAGAGACCTTTTCACAGGTGCCCATGCCTCTGTGGACAAACAAACCCTGGCACTTATGTTTCAGAAGGAACTTAGGGCTTTTAAGGGTAAGGACAAGCTGCCCAAATTGGAGAAGAAGACACAGCCTATCTCACAAAAGAAGGAAAAGGCACCTCCATGGGAGACATTTGTGGCACTGTACCATGTTTTGCGGATGCTCCAGCAGCGATACGCCAAAGACACTGCTGCTTGGATGGAACAGTTCCATCAGCTCATGGACTTGTACCAGCTCAAGTCCCCCAGAATCCAGAGGCTGCTACAAGATCTGCTACTGAGAGAGGAGCCTCAACCCAAACAGATCATCTACAAAGAGGCCCTGAATGCCACTGAGCTAGTACCCGGGGAACGGGTGTTCTACTGCTTGGTTTGTGGTGGCTCTCATACCCCAAGAAGCCCTCTTGGGTTCCAGGATGTGCTACCTCTCCCTGGACAGAATAACGTGCACACCTCCCTTCCTGTAGGTATTGCCAAGTATGGAATCTTGGAACTTGCCTGGAAGAGCCTGCCCCAAGCTGATATTCACCTCACTACAAATTTTCCAACATCATTATTATCACTGCCAAATCTGGGTATGGCTAAAGGCCAGGACTTTTCATTCTCAACTGGAGAAAGGGCTGCTCATCAGACTCTAGACCTGTAAGGACCAGATCAAAGCCCTTTCCCTATTCAGCTCTGCAAACTTGTTTCTGTGTATGGAAATAAAGAGGAGGTTCTTTTTTGCATCAAGTACTTTGATGTGTTCCTTTTCATCAAAATTTATTTTTTCAGAAAGGTCACCAGAGATGCATACTTCCATGAGTGGGACAATGTCCAGCAGGGAGTAGTATTCACTCTGTGAAGCTCTTGAAGAGTCTGTCCTTGCCCTCTTTCTTCCTTGTCTCCCAGTATCCCTGCCTCCAAAACTACAGGAAGGAAAAGCAACTGCTACAAAGCTAATGTATATTTGCATTAATATAAGAAGTAGAGAGTGGATTTAGGAATTAGAAAACCCGCCGGGCGTGGTGGCGCACACCTGTAATCCTAGCACTCGGGAAACTGAGGCAGGAGGATCGCAGTGATTTGAGACCAACCTGGGCTACACATTGAGTTCCAGGGCAGTCTGAACTACATAGTGAGACCGTGTCTCAAAAAAACCAAAAAAAACCCCTACATTTTCCTCTTAGTATATGGGGGCATACTATGGGGATTGACTCTAACTCCCTTATCATAGCTGTGCATGATGACTTGAGTCCCAAATAGCAATTGTGTTGGGTATTGAGATCCTTAGAGTAAAGGAGAAAGCTCCAACAAGTTTGAGCCAGCACCATCTGTTGAGTTCATCAATGGATCCCCTTAAAGAGTGTAGTCATCTGGAGTTAAAACAGAAAGAAAATGAGAGAAGCCTATGTCTTTCATTTCTTTTGCTACCTCCGGGACATTGGGTTCGAGAGAGTGATAGAATAAGAATCAGGAAGACTAAGTATAGGCACAAATAGGTCCCCAGTTGTCTACAAATTTATGGCCTTTCTTTCCAACAAACATAAGATTTAACTGGAAAAATGTATTACAGTAGAGGAAGTTGTCATTGCCAGTAATCCGGTTGTTTGTCTTTATGAGTGGGGCATGTACTGGGGATCAAACTTGGGACCTTGTGCTTGTGAGGCAGGTGGTGGAACCACTGAGCTAAATCCCCTGACTTCCTGTTCTCTCTTTGATTGCTCCTTAATCCTGTCTCGAAATGAAAAAGATCTGGAGAAAAATCCGAGTGCGAAGGTCTTAGGTTCAATACTCAGCACTGGGGTTGGGGTTGAGGGTAGGAGAGGGGCTTCAGAAGTAAAAAGGATATCATGTAGTACTAACTGGAGGACTAGAAGTCCCTAAAGCAAGCAGAATTCCTGTATCATAATCATCATCATTATCTACTATCAAGGGACCCTAGGGAACAACCCACAGCACTTGGGAGTTTTACCTGAAGTCCCAGTTTCCCTAAGGAAAGACAGAAACGCAGAGGAAACTCTTGCCCTCTTGTGACCACACCCCCTGAGAGTCAGAGATCCGAACGGATTTAGGAGCGCAGCGCCTCGCTCTCTGGGAAATCCAGTCCAGCCTCATGGTCCAAACCAGGGGTCGTGGTCCCCGAGGCAACACCGAGAGCGGTTCCAAAGCCCCAACGTGAAGGACGAACTCTCCCGCCTCGAGGAAAATCCAGCACTAAGAAGGGAAGGCGGCGGTGGAGCGGGAGCAGGCGAGCCCGTCCTCTGGGGGGGCGGGGCAGATGGGTCCTCCCGAGTGGCACCGCCCTCCGACGTTGTGAGCAAGCGCGTCAGAGTCTCCGCCTGGCGCGAACTGGCCCCACCCCACCCCACTTGTCCGCTTGATCGACTGGTGTCTCCCGCTGTATAGCAAAGGCGGTGATGGCGTTTGACAGCCCAGCCTGGCGAAAACAAGGGTCTTGGAGAGCAGGGGACGGATGGCGTCTCTGCTCCCACCCGGTCCCTCTCGACGTTAATTTAGGTCCCGCACGCCGAGGCCAGGAAGCAGGGAGAATGATGAGGTGCGCTCGGGGGTCCTCGCAGGAGTACATTCCAGGGACCTCCCTGCCCTACCTGTTTGCCTCTGTGGGGTGGTGTAGAAGCGAGCCAGAGGTGCGGCCGGGCACTGTCCTGTTTGGTTGCCTTAAACTCTGCTGTTCTGTTTTGTGGCTTCCTCAGGCTTCGTGAGCTTGGGTGCTGCCACTGTAAAGGGCTCCATGGAGACCCCTTATAACCACCAAGAGCCCACCCTCCTGTGTGGCTGCTGATGCGGGGCTTCTGTCATAAAGGCCAGAGCCTTACAGGCGCAACCCCGCATGTGCAGTGACAATGGCATCGTAGCTATGAACATGCCAGGAGTCGGACTCTGGCCTTGCCACGTTCTAGCTGTGTGGCTGGGGTTTTCCTCTCCTGGAGAGAGGGGGATGATACGCAGAGGTTGAGATAGAGTTGGCGTGGTTTGTTTAGCTAACACAAATGTGGACCGTCCAGTTGCCCTTTGAATTTCACTGAAAATAACTTTTTAGCATAAACGTGTACCAAATAATTTGAAATTCAAATGTAACTTTTCTCTGGCAGCCCTGCTTTAAGGGGTTGTTAGGAAACAATGCATGGACAAGTCTTGACATGTCTTGCATGACAGTACCTGACACATGTAAAAACACAAAATTTAGTTCTATAAAAAGGTCCAGGCTGGGCATGGTGTCGTTACATGCCTGTAATCTCAGCACTTGAGAGGCTGAAGCAGGAGGATTGCTGTGAGTTCGAGGCCATCCTAGGCTACACAGTGAGTCCAAGGCGAGCCTGAACTACCCTGTCTCAAAACTGCCCCCGCAAAGGTTCGACCCGCCCTGTGTGTGTGTGTGTCACCTGGGTGTACTGTCTTACAGAGCCAGCCCCCAGAAAGCCATTCTCATAAAGGTCCCCCACCTCACCACCATCCCACTCCAATATACTGACGTCTTACCCCATCAGGAAGCACTGGATTCCCGTCGCCTCCCTGCAGTTAGCACATTCACTTGGGGGTTTTTCAGGTTCTTAGGAACGTTGGTGCTCTCTCTGTTCTAGTGTGTGGCTTGTCTGGAATGGAGGGGTCGGATGCATTATGATGGAGCCAGCGACACACTTGCTCTGGGAAGTCGTACCTAGGGTTTGTCTCTTCTACGGTTGGCTGCGAAATCCGTGGGTGATGAGGGCACGAGAGCTAGGAGGGAATGGAAAGTGAATGGGGAAGCCTGTGATGCTAAATATTAGCAACGGGCTTCCCCAGCAAGTTCGGTGAGTGGCTTTAGTCCTGCGGGGCTCGTTAAGGCTCCCGCCTGCCATATGTGAGGTGAGACTGTTGAGTCTGAGAAGTCTGAAGGGGAAAAAAATGGGAGATAGTGAAGCAGGAGTAGTGTTACAAATATGTTTGACTTCGATGTTTGTTTCATTTCTTATTCCCCCTCAATCTTAGCATAGCCCTTGACAGTAATAGCACCCTGAATTGATACTGTATTTTTATTATAGAGCCTTTTAAATTTCATTATCTCACTTTGTTTTTTCTAAGTGCTTTAGTAGGGAAACAGAGAAGGGCATTCTTCAGTCAAGAGGGATGAAAGTGAAATGCCTGGCTCTCATTTTAAACTGATGGAAAGCAGGCTTAGCCTAGGATTTCGACTGAAGTGTCTGGCATCTCCCAATTTCCTAGTCAGAGCTCCTAGTCTTAAATTACCAGAGGAAACTTTAGGGAGTCCCTGAGACTGTGAGATCTAATCTCCTTTTTCTTCACAGTAGCCTCTTCTGTATTTTCACGCTCCCGTTTTGCTGGCTTCTTCCTCTTAACATTTAAACATATTTGGTTTTCTTATTTTAAAAAATCCTTCTTTGCAGAGCCTAATGATTTGGTCTTCTTATGTGTGTCTTAGAGATTTGAAAGCAAGATTTTGAAGAACTTAAAATTTGTGGTAAAAATTGAAGTAAGGTACTGACTCTTGCTAGATGGAAAAGAATTGCTTAGAGTTGCTGAGCTCTAGGGATAGAAATCATGAAGTAGGGCCGCCATCGCACACTGGTGACAGCCAGTGCTGCCAACGAGATAAGTAGAAAAATTAAAAATAAGCATTTAAGAAATTTTGTAGCAATTTAATGAAATAATGTAGTCATGTCTTTTGAACTTAATAAAAATCTGCAGTTAATTTTTTTCTTTGATTCCATATTCTTTTTTACCTCTCCCTTTCTTTCTCTCTTCTCCTTTCCCTTCTCCCTCTCATCCCTAAGCTCTGAAAAGCTACACTTCAGTGGTCTTGAGTTTCTTACCTTTCATTTATACTCCTCGGTTCTCTCCTATCTGCCTTCCGGAATCACTTCTGTGATACTCTTGTCATTAAGGGCACTATTATCATTTGCCAATTCCATTCTTTGCTTCCTCTTACCTGACCTACCTTCCCAGGTCCTGGAGAGAACTTTCTGTCTCTGTAGTTTCTCCTTCTTAGCATGTTTCCCCAAAATTAAACTGGTTATTGAGTTTCTTTTGCATGCTGCATACTGTCCTCTGGGCATTTTCCTCCTGGTACATGGCTTCAGCTATCCCTTTAGGCTGGTCATTTCCAAGCATTTATCTCCAACCTCAAACTTTCCTAATCTTTAGACCCATCTACCCAGTCATTCAACTATTCCATAGTCACTTAAGTATATTTCAAATTGATCTTTTCTCCTTCATATCTGTTCTTATTTTAACTTTAGTTTCCTGGAATTCATAAAACTTCATTCAGAACTGTGTCCAGAAAGCCAGGGACCATTCCAGATTTCTCTTTCCTGACTTCCTAGACCCAGTTCTTTTTCAGGGCCCATATATTTCACCCTCTAAAGTTTTTCGTGTGTGTAGGAGTTGGGAGAGGTACTGGAGATGGAACCCAGGAGCTTATACATGCTAGACAAGGACTCTGAGCTACATTTCCAGCCCCTGAACTTGTAATCCTCCTGTCTCAACCTCCCAAAGAGCTGGAGTTACGTATGTATGCCTCTATGTCTGGTTATCTTTTCTACAATTTCATATAAATGGAATCATATATAGTATGTGCTCTTTTATGTCTTTTTTGTACTCTGTGTGTTTTTTTGCACATCTGTGTTATTGAATCCGTAGCTCATTCTCTTATTTGTGTGTGTGTGTGTGTGTGTGTGTGTGTGTGTGTGTGTGTTAGTGTTGGGCATTGAACCCAGAGCTTTTGCACAGAACCATATCCCCAGATCCTTTTTCTTTTTTCTTTTGAGATAGAGGCTCAGTAAATTGCCCAGGTTGAGCTCAAACTTTTGAGCTGCCTGCTTTAGCTACCCAGAGTGCTGAGATTACAGGTGTGCACCATCATGCCCCAGTTTACCACTATCTCTTTAAAGCAAAGGAGCTTCTTCCATTTATAAAGAAGTCTTCTACTTCCACCTTCTTTGCCTTGTCTTGCTCTTCTCTCCTTTTCAAATCTCTTAATTTCCAGTCCAACTTTAGATGTTGAGATTTAGTTACTCTTCTTACTTTCTATAGGTTCTATGATCCATGATGTCTGGGAAGAGGTGGAATGTCACTGGAATATCAGCTTCACCCAGACTCATTCCTCAGTGGAAGGACCTAAGATTCCTCATAAATAAGATCCTGAAGGACATAAAGGTGATGTGTACAAAAGTTACGAACACTGTGTACTTCGCCCTGTCCCTGCCAGAGAAGGCTGTGGCATGGACAACATATGAACAGCTTTGGCAAGGTCGCCCCATTCTCCCCAACAAGCTCTTCTTCAACACTGAAATGATAACATTAGGTACAATTAGAACACTTTCTCCTACCGGTCATAAAATGGATACACGAATTAAACAAGCAGGAGGCATCTCATCTTACACGACACTAAGGCCCTGCGCTCTTTTTCTTTTTCCACCACCCTTAATATGTTAGCATGCTATGTTAAGGTTGTAAGGTAGTTCCCGTACTTCCAAGTGTAAGCTTCAAATTGTAAGCAGGTAGAAGAATGGTCAGAGAGCCATAGGCCTGTGCCAGCCTTGGAGTACCACGGTAGTACTTTTTGTGGCCAGAATTGCTGGGTCCACAATCACCGTAAATCAGGAAGTAAGGGGAGGTGAAGGAAAATAATTGATATACAGTAGGCAGCACAGTAACAGACACAAGCACATTGCTTGTGTTTAAAGATAGCTTTAGTCTTCTACTAGCATTCTCCATGGAATCACCTTGATGTAGTTCAATGAATGAATGATTGTTTATACAGGAAGGCTGGGAAAGAGGAAAGAAATAGGGACTAGAACGAGGTTAAGTAAATGTGCTTTCTGATTCAGCTTACTGAATGAGAAATGGACCCCAGGGTCTTTTCTCTCAACTCTCCATAACCACTAAATTAAAAAAGAAAGCTCTGAAAATGAGAAATACAGGGAGAAGAGAGATTCTGAGTTGAAGATATTGATCTCGGTGTATGAGTACAGTCCCAAATCCTTTGTGGGTGAGGAAGCAGGCATGATGGATGTTATAAATAAAGAAGTATTAATACTTTTGTTTCATTTAGTATTATACGATCTAGTTTAGTGGTCAAGGCACAAATTCTGATGCACAGGAACTTGGAGAGTTAGATTCACGTGGCATTATTTAGGAAGCAGGTATAGAACAAGTATCTGATGAAATAGCGAACCCCCAAAGTAAACTTCATGAGCCTCAATTTAGACTGATTAGTATGAGTTTATGTACATATATCATAGATAGGCTGCATCAGTGGAAGATAGCATGTGTTGTATAGTTCTGTGTAACACGTTAAAAGGTACACATCCCACTTCACACACACACACACACACACAAACACGTGTGCACATTGGGGCAGAATACAATTTTAGAGCTGAAGCAGTAAACCCCACACTGTGAAGATCACCCATTTCCCTTTATACACATAATAGTGAAGTAAGAACGTATCATAGGATGTAGCTATCACATATGGTGAGCATTCTCTTACATGCCTGTAATGTGTGAGTTTCTCACAGGCAGTAAATCATGTGTGTGTGATTGTGACAGGATTGGTGCTTTCCTTGCAGGCAGGAACTATGAAAATTTGTTCCAACTGTGATCAGTATAGTTACTTCCCATGATTGGGTTCCTTTTTCATACTTATATGGAATTGTAGTCCTTTCTTTTACAAGCATTTTTTCCCCTGGAGATGGAACCCAGAGCCTTCACACTGAACTACTTCCCCAGCCCTTTTTTATTTTTTGAGACAACAGAGTCTCATAAAGTCATTAAGTTCCCCAGACTGGGCTCGAATTCATGATCTCCTTCCCTCAGCCTCCCGGTGTTGCTATTGCAGACATGTGCCACCACGCCTTTTTTTTCTTTTTTATATTTGATTGTGACTTTTTAAATATCTCTTCCTCCACTGGATTCTTCTCTTTTTGTTTGATTGATTTGGTTTGGCTTTTGTATTGTTATAGATCAAATCCAGGGCCTCACATTCTAGGCAAACACTCTACCACTAAGCCATAGCCCTGGCCCAGGACTCTTTATTCCTAAGATCCAAGGCCATGTTTGTTGTGCTCAGCATTATATTGCCGGGGTATTTGATAGAACCTATCAGCTGTTCCCAACCTCATTACTGTGTCTGAACTATTCAACACAGAAAATTATTTGAGGGTCTGGTTTCTCATTTTTTGCAATGCTAATAATTAGATGAGTAGGGGAAAATCCATTCAGTATTTAGAATGGATACCTTAGGACATTGAGGCTTCCTTTTCTTACAAAACTTGATTGAGAAATTCTAGAAGATGCTTTGATCAATAAAGATGTATCCTGTTGCAAGCTGAGGGCAAGAGAGGGACAACTCCCCAAATAATGTTTTCCACTATTAGGGTGAATGAATACCAGTTAGCTAAAAATGTCCACTAACCCTTCAACAAATATTTATTAAGTGAATGAATAAGAGGAAACTTGGGCCTTTTAGCTCAGGCCATTCTTCCCTCTCAGACTGATGAAGGAACAAACAACGATGTCGCTGTTTTGAGTGACTGGCCTGAAACTCTCTACCAAGAATCTCACCATCCTCAGAACAAGCCTTTAGTGTACTTCTACTTCGTCGATGTCAACTATTTTGTCTTCTTAAACTGGGTGGAACTGTATGGAAAACAAATGCAGGTAAAGCTACTTCAGTGTTGTTTTGTGTTTCTTTTCCCCCTCCTCTTTCCTAATCCAATTCACAGGCATCGCACCTAAACTGGGCTCATTTCAGAATGATGGAAGTGACTCCGAATTAATTCATTTGAGTATCCATCTTCATATTCAGTTTGACTTAGATTAGCCCACAGAATGCATATTTCCTAAAAAAGTATCATGAAAGCCAAGAAAAGGACCTTCAACATGGTGCTTCTATCACATACCCAGCACCTAATAGTAGGAACTCCCGAGGTCAAGCTGTCCCATCTTTCCTCAATTAACAAAAGGGAATAGGGATCCAAATATTCAGCCTTTTTCTACTGCATACTTTCAGGAGATGATCTGGCTCCATGATCAGGCTTCCTTACATCTCTCATCCTCTTCTAGGCAGTGCTTTGGGTACAGAAAAAAGATACAGATGCAAAAGGAGGGATTGAGAAGGTGAAGTTTCATGGAATGGAACAAGTGCCACCCATCGAAGCAATGGTCCACACAGCTTCCTACCACATGTTAATTGCTTACTGTGGTGACATGCGCCTGAGGCTCTTTGGAGATCATCGTCAAGCATTCACACCTCTGGGTATAGTGCCCTGTCATTTCTCCATCAGTTGCCTCTGCTATGACTCGGAAGCGGAGATGCTGCTGTCTGGCATCCTGGGGGCTGTTGTGACCTGGTTTATTTTACCAAATGGCAGGGGCCTCCAGATGGCTCAAACAGTACCCATGCCTGGTGGTGAACTTGTACAGGGCTTGTCCCTGAATACTTCCCAGGGCTCCCTGCAAGTTCTATGTGAGAATGCAGTGCGAGTCTTTACCCACCAGGGTCAGGGCCAGCTGAAAGAAGTAAAGAAGTTCACCCTTGTAACCAGCGGCTCCTCCATCACTTGTTCCTTTGTTTGTGTCTCACAGGGCACTTTTTATGCCGGAAACAGAGCTGGGGAGATCCATGCTTGGAGTTTAGACCAGAGTAACTTCCTCCACAGCTTCCAGGCCCATTCTTTATCAGTGCTATGTATCCATAGTAGGCCAGAGACCTACACTTTACTAACAGCAGGTAGTGAAGGTGTACTGAGGGAATGGAATCTTGCTTCTGGGGATTTGCTGAGGCAGGTGAGTATTAATGAGAATCTACAGCAACTGAAGTTCATTGATAACACTACTTTTTTCTGCCAGAGTACCTCTACGTTCTCATTGCACCATTTGCCTTACTTTTATAGCCTTTTCAATGTCTGTGGTTCTGCTCCCTAGCACCTGCAGCGGGTCTGCTGTGGCCATAATTGGACTCGGATCTTATGTGTCACTGAGAATGGTTTGTTGCGTTTCCTGTCTCCAGTAACAGGGGATCTCTTGGTTATCACATGGCCTCTGCTTGTCATGAATAAGGCTGTAGCATGGGCCTATGACTCAAACAGAGAGGAGCTCTTTGTGGCAACAGACAGCTCAGAGGTGCTGGTATTTGATACAACATGCTCTCCTTGTCCAGCCAAGTATCTTGTGTGTACTTCAGAAAATCCCAGGGATAAAGTAAGATGCCTGGCCTATGGGAGGTTCCATTTGGGTAAGGGCCTGGAAGGACTGATGTTCTGTGGCTATGAAAGTGGCATTGTGAGCATCCTCTCCCACTGCAGTTTTGCACGAATAGAGAAGACCATCCACACTGGGGCAGTGTTGGCCTTATCTACCCTGGAAGGATCCCAAGAAAACTCCTTATTCTGTTCCTAAGGCAAAGATAACATTATACACCTGACAGAGGCTGTGCTTCAGGACAGCAAGGTTATCTTGCAGCCTGTCGGCAAAATTCACTGTGGTTGCCCCCTAAAACACATGATGCTTTTGCCTGGTTGTGTGGCTGCTATCACTGAGAACTCCGGCTGGTGTCTCTGGCGCTATCAAGACTTCTTGATTTCATCCAAATCAAAACAAAGCTTTATGTTTAGAGAGACAAAATGCCTGCACAAGTGTACTGTCACTTCATTTGATGTCTGCTTTTCCCTCAAACTTTTTGTCACAGGGGCCATTGATGGCTCAGTCCGGATCTGGGACTTCTGTGGAAGACTTGTAACAGAGTTGGCCTCAGCACTGCAGTTTGGACCACTGTGCTTTGCCAATGATCGGGGTGACCTGCTTTTGACTATCAACCAGAGCATCTACATAGTATCTTGTCTAAAATTGGTGCCTCCAACTTGCCTGATTCACCTATGTAGCTTAAGCAATGTAGACGAAGTACAAGAAGTTCCTAAGCCCTTCCTACCTAGCTTCTTTTTTTTGTTTGAAAGGGTATTTATACCCAAATTTGTCTATTTGGGACAAGGCCTGCAGGAATTACAGGAGCTGGAGACCCTTGGCAACAAGCGAGTCATTGCCTTTGATAACACTGTGCCCCATGTTGTAGAGGAGACCCATACATCCCTTGTAATTCAAGACACATCCAATTTGCAGTTTTTGGAGGATAAAGATATTGATTTGTCTACTCTTGACCCCAAGCATAATCGTCCCCCATATGTGGTTCCTGCTCAGTTACAACTGGCCAGGTGGGATGGACTCAACACCTACCTCATGTTACAGTGCTCCTTTGGTCAAGGGAAGCAATGGCCCTTTGCTCCTGATTGCTACATCCCCAACTCAGTGATCCGTGCCTGTCTTTGGCCCGAGGGTACCCCAATCTTCCTACAGTATGATCTGTACCCACCCTACCAAGGTAAGGACCGGGACATGACTGAATTCTTAAGATCTCAGCCACTGTCACCTGTGACTCTAGAAGCAAAAGTCTCAATGGGTAAACAGAAGGATAAACTCAAGGAGCAAAAGAGAACTTCCTTTAATGTCCTTGAAGATACAACAAACTAAAATTGGTTGGGGAGAAAATTTAGTGAAGGGTTAATAAACAATTTAATAGAGATCATTCTCAACCTCACAGTTTATTGTTCTGTAGAGAAATACAAGAAATATTTTGATATCCTGGAAAAAATTTTTGGCAGTTACCAAATATCTTCAAGTTTGCATACTGAGACAGCCTGTCGCTTACTGAAAGACACAACCCATTACAATTCACATATCCGTGAGCTAGCATGGGAGATGCTAGAGAGGCTGGGCTTCATGAGCCATCTTTTTGCTGTACCACTGACTATGGGATTGATGGACAGTGATAAGAATGTTCGGACTAAGGTGTTATACCTTATGACAAGAGTTGCAGGCATCCAAACCAAGACTGGGCTTGTTCACCTGCTGAAGAAACAAGAACTTCTCCACGAAATGCAGTAAGTTGGATGGTGATGTTCTCCTCTGATTCCTAGCTTCCAGAATCTGATTTCTTTTTGCCCTTTACCACAGCCTCTTTGTTATTCTTTCCCTTGCCCCTTGTCCCTTATTTCTGTTTGCTCTTTTCCCCCAGCATCTTCCTCTTTTCTTCTAGCCACTGGATCCTATTTTTCATCATTTTCTCACTGCCTTAAGATTCCTCAATATTCAAATCCACAACTCTCTCAAAGAAGTATGCCACCTTGACTATTCATTGCTATTCTTCATTCTCTCTTCTTTAGTGCTATAGGGATTGAACACAAAGCCTTGTACATATGAGGTAAGTGCTCTACCACTGAGCTACACTCTAGTTAGTTACCTTCTCCCCTTCCTTTCCTATCCTCCCATTTTCTTCCTCCTCTGCCTTTTCTTCCTTCTTGTTTTTTCACTGGGGATTAAACCTAGGACTTTCACACTGAGCTGCATTCCAGCCTTTTTAATTTTTATTTATTTATTTTTTGAAACAGGGTCTCACTAAGTTGCACAGCCTGGGCTTCAACTTGCAGTTCTCCTGTTTTCAACTTCCCAAGACAGCTAGGATTACAGTCATGGACCTTTATGCCCAGCTATCATTCATTCTTGTTTTTTTGTTGTTGTTGTTGTTTGTTTGTTTTTTGGTACCAGGGATCGAACTTGGGTCCTTGAGCTTGCGAGGCAGGTGGCGGAACCACTGAGCTATATCCCCAGCCCTATCATTTTTTCTTCTGTATCCATGTTTTACTTCAGCCTATTGTATTTTAAATGACATTTTATCCCTGTCTCTTCTAACTTCCTTTTTAAAAAATATTTTTGTCTTATCATTAGCTCAACTCTGTCCTTCTTTCTCCTTGACTTTTGTAGGCTGGAAACTATTGGAAGAACCTCTCTGGGCCAGCTGCTGGGGATTCAAGCTAGTGATATCCATTGCATGCTTACTCATGTGCAGTGGCGGCTAAACGAAAACTTGACCTTGTCACATAAAGATAAACCATTTACTTTTTCTTTTGCTATACCGAAAGAAGAAGAACTTGAGGTCACTGCTAAACAAACATTTATACCTTTTCCAGAACCTGAAAAGATCATTGAACTGAAGAAAAGAAAGAAACATGTTCAAGCAAAGAGCAGAGAGCTTAGTATGTATGGGGTATGATTGGGGTCCACCTCATTAAGGTAGAGCCAATAAGACCAAGGTATATATAAAATGATACCAATGGTAACAGTTAAGTGGAGGATCTTATTCACAGAAAGTAGCCTTCCTGAGAAAGATCACCACACATGTGCCAGTCTTTTTTCTTTAGAATATGGAAGTCAGCATGACGAGTGACCATTTCTAAATTATAAACCGTTAGTTCTTGGTGCCTTTTTATCTTTAATAATAGTTTACTAAAGTAGATATAACAAAAGATCTTACTTAGGACCTCCATTTTTTCTCTCTCTCTCAATGTCTCTGCAGTTAAAAAGGCCCTAAAAGTTGCCAGCAGACGCAGGATAGAATTTAAAAAGGCTAGTGCTGTGAGTGTGACTTCAGAGGATTCACATGGAAAAAGAAAGGTCAGGGAATCAGAGCAAGTTGACAGCCAGGTTGTTACCTTGGAACCAGAGCTACCACTCAGTACTTTCAGCCCACTCGAACCCCAAGATGATGTTGAAACAAAAGAGAGCATATTGGAGGCTACAAAAACCAAAGAGAGCAGAGAAGCTGTGGAGATCACAGAGGGCATAGAGACTACAGATCAACATAGCATTAAAGATGTTGAAGAAGTGATCCATAAGCTGGAAAGACAAGAACACATTAAAAGGCTTTGGAAAAGGGCAGCTAAAAAGAGCCGAAGAATAGCAGAGAAGTGGAAAGAGAAAAAGACTTCACAGGGTATTTCAGAGATGACTACAGACGAGCCCAAGGAAGAAGTCAAAGAAGTCATACAGTTTTCTGAACCAGAAAAAGATACAAAGAAGAAACATAAAAATATTAGTCATGGTTTAGCTGGGACCCCTGGATGTATATCTAGATCAGACATCAGGTCTTGGAGGGATAACATTTGTCACCTTGTCACCTCAAGGATAGCGAGTTGTGATCCAGGAATGTTAAGAGATCTGGGTAAAGAACTGATAGAAATGGCTCAGGTTGTCCTTGCTGACCGAAAGCCCAGCTGGGATCTCTTCAAAGAGATCTGTCCCCTTTTAAAGGACTCAAGCCTATTTTCATCAAAATTGCATGATGGAAAATTGGGAGAACCACCTATCAAAACAGAAAATGTGGTTGTAGGGGCTGTCAATGAAGGGGCAGTAGTATTGAGAGAACAAGAGACTAAAAAAGTGATAAAGAAACATGTAAAAATTTCTCCAAAAGTTAAGAAAAATGCTGCTTTCTTAGAAGATCACCCAGTCTTACAGAAAAGAACATTTAAGAAAGCAGTAAGGAAACTGGGCAAGCAAGAAAGGAAAATAGTTGAGGAAGAAAGAAAACTGACAAAGCCTGAGAAAATGTCAATGCAAGAAAGGGAGCAAATGACCAAGGATAAAAAGAAATGGACCCACCCAGAACAAAGAATGCTTTGGAAAAAAGAAATACTTGCTCCCCAAAAAAAGAAATCAATTATGAAAGAAGAGAAAATACTCCCAAGAAGAAAAGAGACTAAATGGAAAAGAGAGGAAATTACTTGGAAAAAGAAAGAATATGATCTTGGAAAAGGGGAAGCCAACTCTGGAAAGGAAAAAGTGGAACTGGGAAAAGATTATGCAGGCCCATAAGAAAGATTTACAGTTCAACGAAGAGAGGTTGTTATTCCCAGAGAGTAAACTAGATGAGGAAGAAATCCTAGGCGTAGAGGAACAAGTTGCAGAAAAGAAGAAACAGTCCCATGAAATGAAAAAACACAGCTGGGGAAAAGAGGAACCCATAGAGGAAGAGGAAAAAGAAGAGGAAGGGGAGGAAGAGGCATGGGAACTGGGTACATTGTCTCTGGATTATCTGTGTATTGAAGAGGAAGGATTGTCTGAGGAAGACAGAAAACAAGCACCAGAAAGGGAGAGTTTGGCAGAGCAGGCGAATAAGCTGGCCCAAGAAAAGAAGAAATGGCTTGCAAAACAGGAAAAGGAGCCCCATAAAAACAAACAAATCCAAGAAAAGAAAAAAATTGAGAAACAAGATGAACAGAAGGAAAAAGACCAGAAAGAGGTTCTTGCCCAGAAAGAAGAGAAGGAGAAAAAACAGAAAAGAAAGAAACTGGACCTAGAGGAGGATGAAAAATTTGGGGAAATGAAAAAGTTGTCACAAAAAGATAAACAAGCTTGGAAAAAGAAAAGAAAATATTCAAAAGGGGAGAGAAGAACTCAGAAAGAGAAAATTGAGGAGCTGAAACAACAGTCCTGGGAAAAAGAGAAAGTGGACCTAGAAAAGATGGACAGGGTTAGAGAAATGAAGAAAAGTTCACAAAAAGAAGAACAAGCCCAGGAAGAAAAACCATTGGTCTGGGAAGAAAAGAGACAGACTTGGAAAGAAAATAATTGGGCCTGGGAAGAGGAAGAGACTCTGGTTCAAAAAGTGGCGGAAGAAGTTGAGAAAATAAAACAAGAGCCAAGAGGAAAAATAAAACTGGTCCCAGCAGAGGAGAAAATGATGAAGGATATTGAGAAAATGTTCCAAGAAAAAGAGGAACAGGTCATGGAAAAAGAAAAACAAGCTAAGAGAAAGGAGGAACAGACTAGTAAAGAGGAGGAAACAGCTGAGAAGGAAAAAAAGCAGACTCAGAGAAAAGTGAAACTAGGCCTACAAGAGGAAAAACTGATCCAGAAAGAAATACATAGACAGAAAGAGAGAGAGGTTGAGCAAAAAAAACAACAGGCCTTGGAAAAGAGAAAACTGTCCCAAGAAGAAGAGGATGTAAAGGCTGGTGAAATGGAGAAACAGTTTCAAGATAAAGGAGAAAAGTCCAAGAAAAAAGAGAAAAGGGCATTAGAAAAGAAACTGACTGAAGAAGATAGTAAAGAGAGGAATATTGCTAAGAAAGAAAAGGCCAAAGCCAAAGAAGGCATCGAGATAATTAAGAGAAAGAAAAAAATAAACCAAGAAGAGAGAGAAACTATGAAAGAAGAGAATAAATTGTTCCAGGAAGAGAGGACTTTGTCTCATGACAGTAGGATCAAGGAGATGCACACTGCTGAAGGAAAGACAACCAAAGAGAAAAGAATACAGGCAATAAGGAAACCTGACAGAGAAAAGGGGATTAGTTCAGAGGAGAAAAAGGTTAGTCCCAGGGGGGAAAATACAGAAATGAAAGAGAATCAACTACTGAAAGTCTTTGCTGGGATAATTAAAGAAATGTGTCCAGTGTCTTTGGAGGAGGAGATAGAAATAACTGAGGAAGAGAGATCATCCATTATGAGAAGTGAAGTTGAAGGCCATGGGCCAAGTGAGGAAATTACCAAGGAAGAGAGAGAACAGGCTCAGAAAGAGAGAAAACTAAAGATGACAGACCGTCCACCAAAGAGAGAACACTTACTGATGAAGAGAGCTTGGAGGAGGACCAAAGACTTTTGGAGGAGGTCCAGGACAAGATTTTATTTGATAAAATTCAAGTAAAGACTGTATTAAAGAATGTCCAGGAGCAAAATCTGTTAGAAAAAAAGCAGCTAGAGGAGCTTCTGGAGAAAACTGAAGAGAATGAATCAGAAAAGACCCAAGTAAAGTGGTTATTAGAGACTATCAGAGAGAAACTCTTTGAGGGCTTATCTGAGAGTGAGACTGAGGAGGAAACAAAGGAAAGTCTAGTTAAGAAAGGGAAAGAGGAGGAGAGCCTGCTAGAGGAAGAAGAAAAGATTCTTCCCAAGAAAAAGAAAGCGAGATATCTGAGAAAAGAAAAAGGGAAAAGTAAGTCCAAGTGAAGAGAAACTGGAGGAGGATTTGGCTAAGAATCATAAGAAAAAGAGTTTGGCCACCCAAAAGAAAATGAGATTGACTAAGGAGAAAGAGATGCTGAGTAAGAAGGAGAAAGAGGGCCCAAATGAAGAGGAGAGCCTTACTGCAGAGTGGGAGTATCTGAGTGAGAAGCAAAAAGAGGAGAGCCTCAGTGAGAACCTCAGTGAGAAGGAAGAGAAGAGCCTCAGTGAGGAAGAGGAGGAAAAGGAGCAGGAGAGCCTCAGTGAGGAAGAGGAGAGCCTCAGTGAGGAGGAGGAGGAAGAGGAGGAAAAGGAGGAGAGCCTCAGTGAGGAGGAAGAAGAGGAGGAGAACCTTTGTGAGGAAGAGGAGTGCCTCAGTGAGGAGAGAGTGTACTACAGACTTCCAGGGGTGATGCTTCCAGAACACAAGAGAGCGTTAAAATCTGAGCTTTCAAAAGAAGTGGGTTTACCCAAACCAGTGACAGAAAGTGAGGGTATTGCTCAGGAAAGGGAGGGTATAGCTAGAAGGAAAGGGATTTTTAAGAAAGAACACTTACTTGATGGAAAGACAGACTCCAAGCTTATAGACAAAAGCCCCTTTAAAATACCACTCCAGACAGCCCTGGGGGAAAAAGAGGGAATGGCTTGGAAAGTGACAGAAGATCTTTCAGATTTGAAAAAAAGACAGGGTAGCCAACTTCTTGGAGAAACCCTCATGACAAGTTTATTGGGAAGACAAGAAAATATATTTCTGGAGAAAGTCAAAGGAATGTTTTTACAAGCCATGGCAACAGGCTTACAGACCCAGATCTCAGAAGGTCCCCAAAGGCCAGGGTTCCAATTTTCTGATATTATAAAACCCCAGAAATCAAAACCAAAAGGCAACAGACGGAAGTGGTTGTGGGATGGATATTATCTGTTGGGGAAAAGTAAGGACCAGGCTCCAGCCCCAGACTCTTCATTTGAAAGATTAGCTGACTCAGAAGTAAGTGTCTCAGATGAGGATTGGATTAACAATACCTTAATAAAGCTGGAGGCAGGGGGACAACTTTCCAGGGACAGTTTCCATCGACTGAGCCAACTCCTCAGAGACTTCACTCCAGAGGGATCCTTGATACATCTGTCCACTCTTAAGGCCATTACTAAACACCTCAGTGAGAACCTAGACTTAAGTCACACTAATATATCACGACCTTGTAAGGATGTTTTAAGTCCCTTGTGCTTAAAAGTGATCCCTCCAATTAGAAGAAAAGAAAAAGAGAGCTGGCCAGAGCCATTTTCTATCCCTGAATCAAAGTTTTCATCAGCCACCAAGACTCAAAACCCACAGGCTTCCAGTTGGTCTCTGTTAGCTGAGTCCTACAGGAAGAAGCAAGTACATCAGTTACCCACTGCTGTCAGGGAGATAAAACACTTTTATCCAACCAGAAGGGATGTTGTTCCCAAGGGTAAAAATTTCCTAGCCTTGAAGGGGAATGTTGAATTCCCCCAATTTTTCAAGGCAAAGAAGAAAACACTGCCCACCCCTGTACCAATGTTACCACCAATCACCCAGAGGATTCAAGTCTCAAAAACTATAAACTGGCATCTTCTAGATGAGCCTTACAGGAGTGCACGGATACAGCAGTTATACAATGCTGTCAAAGAGATGGAGACACATTTTTAACCTGCCAAAAGAGACCTTTTCACAGGTGCCCATGCCTCTGTGGACAAACAAACCCTGGCGCTAATGTTTCAGAAGGACCTTAGGGCTTTTAAGGGTAAGGACAAGTTTCCCAAGTTGCCCAAATTGGAGAAGAAGACACAGCCTATCTCACAAAAGAAGGAAAAGGCACCTCCATGGGAGACATTTGTGGCACTGTACCATGTTTTGCGGATGCTCCAGCAGCGATACACCAAAGACACTGCTGCTTGGATGGAACAGTTCCATCAGCTCA